GGAGATGCTGGGGATCGAGATGCAGGTGAAGGGGATCGAGAAGGAGACGCCGATGGAGACGGGGATCGAGATGGAGACGCCGATGGAGACGGGGATCGAGATGGAGATGCTGGGGATCGAGATAGAGATGCTGGGGATCGAGATGGAGATGAAGGGGATCGAGATGGAGACGGTGGGGCCGGGGATCGAGATGGAGAAGAAGGGGATCGAGATGGAGATGAAGGGGATCGAGAAGGAGATGCTGGGGATCGAGATGGAGATGAAGGGGATCGAGATGGAGATGGTGGGGATCGGGATGGAGACGATGGGGATCGGGATAGTGATGTAGATGGGGGGGATGAAGGTAGCGGTGGAGAAGAAGGGGATCGAGATGCAGGTGAAGGGGATCGAGATGGAGACGCCGATGGAGACGGGGATCGATATGGAGATGAAGGGGATCGGGATCGAGATGCAGATGCTGGAGACGGGGATCGAGATGGAGATGCTGGGGATCGAGATGGAGATGAAGGGGATCGGGATGGAGATGAAGGGGATCGGGATGGAGATGAAGGAGACGGGGATCGGGATGGAGATGGAGACGCAGGAGACGGGGATCGAGATGGAGAAGGGGAGGAGGATGGGGATCGAGTTGGGGATCGGGCTGGTGATGGGGATGGTGATGGAGATGGAGAAAGTAAAGAGACAGAAACGGAGACAGTAGATGGAGAAGGAAAAGAGACAGAGACAGCAGATGAAGAAAGTAAAGAGACAGCAGATGGGGAAAGTAAAGAGACAGAGACAGAGACAGTAGATGGAGAAGATAAAGAGACAGCAGATGGAGAAGATAAAAAAACGGAGACAGCAGAAGAAGGTGAAGAGGCGGAGACAGTCGATGGAGAAAGTAAGGAGACAGCAGATGGAGAAAGTAAAGAAACAGAGACAGCAGATGGTGAAGGTAAAGAGACAGAGACAGCAGATGGAGAAAGTAAAGAAACGGAGACAGTTGATGGAGAAGGTAAGGAGACAGAAGATGGAGAAGATAAAGAAACGGAGACAGCAGAAGAAGGTGAAGAGGCGGAGACAGTCGATGGAGAAAGTAAGGAGACAGCAGATGGAGAAAGTAAAGAAACAGAGACAGCAGATGGTGAAGGTAAAGAGACAGAGACAGCAGAAGAAAAAAGTAAAGAAACGGAGACAGTAGATGGAGAAGGTAAAGAGACAGGAGAAGGAGAAAGTAAAGAAACGGAGACAGCAGAAGGAGATGAAGCAGCAGGCAAAGAAGGGTCTGAGTCTGGGGATCGTGTTGTGGGGTCGTCTCCAGCAGCTGGGGATCGTGTTGCTCTGTTCCGG